AAAAAAAAAAAAGATATGAAACAAAAAACCCCACTGCCATCGAGCTGATTCCAAAGCATGGTGGCTACTCCTTGTGTCACAGAACACAACTGCTCCACTGGGTTTGTTACTCTGTCACAGGGGTCACTACGAGTCAAAACCAACTCAACAGCACACAACAACAACCTCTACAGAAGCAGTTTGCCAGGCGTTTCTTCTGCTGAGCTGCTGGGTGGATTCAAACCGCCAACCTTTCAGTTAGCAGCCAATCACAAACCATTTGCACCATCCAGGGAGCTTAAACATGATATACAGATGGAAAATAAGCACATGCAAAGATTTTTACCATCATTGGCCATACAGAAATACAAATTAAAATCACAATGAAATATCGCTACACACCTACGGGTATGACTAAAATAAAAATCAGTGACGACGCCGAGCACTGGCAGGGGTACAAAGAAACTGGATCCCTCACACATTGCACACTGAATGTAAAATGGTTCAGTCACTATGAAAAGTTTTTTTGGCAGTTTAAAAAAACAAAAACTAAACTAAGTATAACACTTGGCATATGACCCAGCAATTGGACTCCTAGGCATTTATTCCAGAGAAATTAACGTTCATATAAAAAACTATACACAAACGTTCATAGCAGCTTTATTCGTAATTGCCAAAATCTGCAAACAATCCAGACGTTCTTCAATGGGTGAACTGTTACAGAAACTGGTACGTCCATATCATGGAATACTTTGCAGCAATAAAAAAGAATGAACATACACAACAACTTGGAAGAATCTCAAAGGCCTTAGGCTGAATGAACAACGCCAATCTCAAAAGGTCACAGAGGACATAAATCCACTTCTACAACATTCTCAAAATGATAAAATTATAAAAATGGAGAACAGATTAAGGGTTATCAAGGATTAGGGATGTGGGGAGTACCGGAGCTAGGGCAGGTGGAAGATCTTTGGGGTGATGGAATATTTCTGTATCTTGACTACAGTGGCAGTTACAAGAAACCTACACATGTGACAAAACAACAGAGATCTAACATTTATAGCAATATCAATTTCCTAGTTTTGATACTGTACTTACACATAAGTAAGATGTAAGCAGTAAGATGTAATCCACAGGGGAAACTGAGTGGGTGAAGGTACAAGGGACCTCTCATTATTACCTTTGCAACATCCTGTGAATCTATAATTATTTCAGAATAAAAAGTTGGGATTTTTTGTTTGTTTTGTTTTGTTTTTTAAGTAAAATGATAGAAAAACATATACTATGCAAACATTAATCAAAATAAAACTGGAGTGGCTATATTAACATCAGACAAAATAGACTTCAGAGTAAGGAAAAGAACCAAGGATAAAGAGGGACATTACATAATGATAAAGGAGTCAATTCACCAAGAAGAAAGAATAATTCTAAATGGGTATGCATCTAACAACAGAGCTGCAAAATACATGAGGCAAAAACTGATAGAAGTGAAAAGAGAAATGGACAAATCCACAATTATGGCTGGAAACACCAACATTCTCCTTCTATAATGAAACAAGAAGACAGAAAATGAGCATGGATCTAGAAGAACTGAACAATAACCTCAATGAACTAGATCTAACTGCCATTTACAGTACACTTCACAAAACAAGAGCACAATACATATTCTTTTTAAGCACACACAGAACAAGACAGAACACAACCTGCTACATAGAACAATTCATAAAACAAATATCAACAAATTTAAAAGAATTGAAATAACACAGTGTGTTCTCTGACCACAATCAAATTAAGCTAGAAATCAATAACAGAAAAAGATGACAAAATGAAAATACAATATATCAAAATTCGTGGAACACAGTTAAAGCACCGCTTAGAGGGAAATTTCTAGCATTATATGCTCATATTTTACAAAAGAAGAAAGGTCTAAAATTATCAATCTAGGCTTCCACTTTATGAAACCAGAAAAAGACAGCAAAGTAAACCCAAAGCACGTTGAAGCGGGGAAAAAAGGAACAAACATAAGAGGAGAAATCAACGAAAGAGAGAAATTAATGAAACTAAAAGCTAGCTCTTTAAAAAGACAAACAAAATAGATAAATTTCTAGCAAAACTGACAAAGAAAAAAGAGAAAAGACACATATTACCGATATAATGACAGAAGGGATTATCACTACAGATACCATAGACTTCAAAGGTTAGTAAGGGAATACTAAGGGAAAACTTTACACAGAAATACTGGACAATTTCAATGAAATGGAGCAATTCCTTGAATGCCATCAACCAGGAAAACCCACCCAAGAAGAAACAGATAACCTGGAGAGTCCTATATTGTTGTTGGTAGTTAACATCAACTCAATTTTGACTAATGGTAACCCCATGTGTGCAGAGTAGAGCTGCTCCATAGAGTTTTCAAGACCTTTCAGAAGGAGATCACCAGGCCTGTCTTCTGAGGCACCTCTGGTTGGGTTCAAAATGCCTACCTTTCAGCTAGCAGTCAAGTGCTTAACTGTAGCACCACCCAGGGACTCCTAGTCCTCTATTACAAGGAATTGACTTTGTAGTTAAAAGCCTTCTGAGAAAGAAATCTTCAGGCCCAGATGGTTTCACAGGAGAATTCTAGCAAACACCTAAAGGTAAAATAACACCAATTCTGCACAGTCTCTTCTAGAAAACACTTGCCAACACTTAATAAGATGTCATCTTTACCCTGATACCAAAATACGACAAGACAGTACGAGAAAAAGAAACTACAAACCAATATCCCTCATGAACACTGATGGGAAAATCCTCAACAAAGTATTAGCGAATCAAATCCAGCAATATAGAGAAAGAATAATACATCATGACAAGGTAGGGTTTATCCCAGTAATGCAAGGCTTAGTCAATATTTGAAAATCAGTCAATGCAATCTACCTTATTAACAGACTAAAGAAAGACAACTCCTTAATCATATCATTTGAGAAAGGAAAACCATTTAACAAACTTCAGTATCCACTGAAAACAAAAACTCTCAAAAAAGTAGGAATTAAAAGAGACTTCCCTAATCTGATAAAAGGCATCTATAAAAAACCCACAGCTAATATCATACTCAATGGGAAAAGACTGAATACTTTCCCCCTATGATCAGGAAAAAGACAAGGATGCACACTCATTACTCTTACTCAACACAGTATTGTAGGAAGTCTTGGCCAATGTAATCAGGCAAGGAAAAGAAACAGAAGACATACATACTGGAAAGGAAGAAATAAAACTGCCTCTGTTAGCAGACAACATAGCTGTCTAAGAAGGAATCCCAATGAAGCTCCTAGAACTAATACACGACTTTAGTATGACTGCAGGATATAAAATTAACACACAAAAATCAGTTGTGTTTCTACAGACTAGCAACGAACAACTGGAAACCAAAACGTTAAAAACTACCAAACCAAGCCATGTATCCAGTACCTGGGCAGGCCCACAGGCAATTCCAACGATGTGCTTCGTGTCCAGACCCGGCAGAGCAGCAGGTTCTGGTTTGGTTACACGTAAGGTGTCGAAGTGCTGGCACTGGTCGTTGCTTCCCCAGCTGTGGACCTCACTGTCCTCAGTCAAAGCAAGGCAGTGTGTGGAGCCTGCAGCCACATCAATCACTTTTTTGCCTACAAAGAAAGAATGATGCAGATTCAGTTGCAATCCTATCACTTCTGTTGCAAGAAAATATTTTCACCAAGCCACTGAAGTCAGGAAGACATTTAATATTAACTTCTGAAGGACAACTGGTTGCTTTAAAATGAAGCCCAATTCGTCTGCTTCAAGTGTATACTTGAAAAATACTCCTAGTGTATTTTTGCCAACTACAATTTGTTAAGACCCACTATTTACAAATAAAATAATGCTAGGGCATACAAAGGACCTGTGATTTTTTTTTTTTCTCCTCCTTATTCAGACTCTCATTCATAAAGTGATAAGTGTATTTTTAATTACCTATCAGACCACATTCTTCCGCTCCAAGGTACAACCATGAAAAGTACACTCTTCACTGAGAATATTTTCTTAAAGGGAAAACTACTTTTCTCCATAGATGATAAAAAGATATAAAACTTTGTTTTCCATTTAAATAGTGTCAGCAAAGTATTACAATTTTGCAAACTATCATATTTTTTTAAGTCTAACACCATCAACACAAGGGGTATTTCTCAGAAATGTATCATAAAAAGTAATTCTGCTAAAAAACTCTACTACAGTAAAATTTAAAATTCTACCCTAAGAGCCTATTATAAGTTTTTAAAACAAAATGTATCAACAATACTTGAAATACTCTCATGGTAAAGTATATCCACAAATGCAACTGAGGGAGCTGATTTCCTTTACTAATGGAGGAGAACATAAGCAAGAAGGTAAATGAAATTCAAAAATGGTTCCGTAACATACTAGTAAATGCTACAACTCTACAACTTAACTCGGGGGAAAAAAAAAAACCTGTTGCCGTCAAGTCAATTCCAACTCATAGCAACCCTACAGGACAGAGAAGAACTGCCCCATAAGGCTTCCAAGGAGTGCCTGGTGGATTCGAACTGCCAGTCTTTTGCTTAGCAGCCGTAGCTCTTAACCATTATGCTTTCAGGGTTTCCAACTCAGAAGCTCTGAAAATAATAATCACCCTTTGAGCACATTCAACTCCTAGTTTCTAAAGGCATTAACATGCTTAAAAAAAAAAAAAAATGGGGAAAAAAACTGTCAAACACAAAAACCAAAACAGCTGCCATGATTCAGAAGCAGGCAAGTCCCACTTAACAGACCCACTTCCAAATTCCCTTGATAAAGAAGCAAAAACACAAATAAAGATGAATGTATTAGAGCAAGGATCTTGCAAACCATAACCCTCAGGCTAAAGGCAGAGTGAGGCCTGTTTGTGAGAATAAAGCTTTACTGGAACATAGTCCCTTGTTTGCTTACAATTGTCTATGCCATCTTTTGAGCAGCAATAGCAAAGTTGAGTTATTGGGACAGACTACAGCCCTCAAACCTAAAATATTTACTATCTCCTTTAAGAAAAAGTTTGTCTACCCCTTAAACACTCGACAAAAATGCCCCATGTGATAAACCTACTACTGACCCTTTCTCTCTTTCTTCTTACTCTTCACAAACTCTCCCTGGGGATAGAGACTGTCTAGTATACCACCAGGCCAACTTGTTTGGAAAATTCCAGTTCTCCCCTTAAAAAAAAAAAATCCCTCCTATAGCCCAACCATTATGGTTTTGATGGTTCCTACTTGCTGCAGACTAACGTCCATAATAAGAATACCATAAAAGCATTCAAGGGCCTTTATCTAGCTCATTGTTCTAGTCTCTTTTCTTACAGATTTTCCCACCCTCTCTTAACCACACTCAGTGGCTCACCACTGCAGAAAGCACATGAATTCACATCCATGTATCTTGCTCTTATTCCCTCTACCTAAAATGCATGTTGGACACCTCAACCTTCTCTTCACCTATCAAGGCCAAGTTCAAATGAGACAACCAAAGTGTACCCAATGCTACCTCCCACTGTACTCCAACAGCACCATGCATACCCACGGTCTTAGCAATTTCTACAGTATAACTACATGTGACTACCAAAACAATAGCTGATTTTAAGCAAGCCCATTTTACGGAGTGATAAATGAATGCCTTTTACAAAAAGAACTCTAAAATATTAGTAAATTCAATGGATTTTTTATTAAATTTGATAAGAATTATTCTAGGCCATTTTTAAAAATATATACAAATCAATTTTCATCTGTACTTAGAAAAATGTGAATGAAAGCTTTTAATAATGGTCTATTCATGAAACATCCATTAAAGAAAACAAAATCTGCCAACTTTAACAGATGACTAAAGAAACTGCCCCAAAGGATTTAAAAAACAGTACACACTTTCCACTCACCTTGCAAACCTTCCAATAGTTTTGGATAACGAACATGTTCCTCTGTTCCATGTCCAAGTCTCTGATTATCACCTTTTCCCCATGAATAAACTTGGCCATCTTTTGTCAAAGCAATAGAAAATTGACTTCCACAGCGTACTTTGACAACATCCAAGTCTTGAAGTTTTTCAATTAGCTTTGGCGTTTTGCAGCCATCACTACCACCTCTGCCCAATTTCCCGTAGTCACCATCTCCCCAAGACCACACTTGACCTAAAAACATATAAACGTATTTAAATAAAAAAACCAGTACACTTTAACGGAAACTTCTAAATGGCTGAATATAATCAACACATTCAGTAAAGCACACAAATCTGGACCACCAATGTATACAGTTAACACTAAATAGGTGTTACCAACCAAATGAAATCTAGTTTACATATGAGGTTGATATAAAAGCAACCAAGAAAGTGGAAGTTGTATTTTCTTCTTGTTTTAATTAGATGAATAATAAAGTCCTGATTCTTACTAGCTTGGGCTCAGTAACACGACTTTAACCAAGTCCTGAGCACTGACAATCCCCTCCATAAAACATAACAGCTGATGCCCATGGCATGGCAACTGTTCCAGGCCCACAGACCATTCTAGTTGTCTGTATACTTCTGTTCCCATCATGCTGACCAAGAGTCAACTGTACAACTGTATTTCTTCCCAATTGTACTTGTTATAGTAGTTAATGTGGTACAATGAGTTCCCTCATGTGGCCTTTTGCCCTTGTTTTTGGAAACTGACCTTAGGGGATTTTCCAAGCTGTTGACTGCCCCAAGGGTTTGCTACTTTTGTCCAGTCTGACTAGAGAGCTCCCCTTGGCCCCAATTACCGACAAGAAGCACGAGCTTCGCCTGGTCTGGCTGGGGAGCCCCGCTCGGTAACCGACAAGGAGCACAACCTTTGCCCAGTTTGGCTAAAGAGCCCCACCCAGTAATTGACAACAACTCTGCCCAGGAGCTGACAAAAGAACACAAAGACTGCCCTATAAAAAGCCCAGCACATGGAGGTTCCAAAGGGGCTTTCCAGAGTCGGGAGGGATGGCACGTCCTTTGGACGGGAAGCTCTGTGATGGAAATCCTCCAAGCTGCAGTTCTAAGTGCTGTGCTAAAGGGAGCAGAGAGCTGCACAGATAAAGAGCTGTGCTGAGAGGCACACAGAAGAGCTATTCTGACCAAGAGAAGAATTGTACGAGAGCTACCAGAACTATATGACAGCTGTACTGGGTGGCACCCCAAGAGCTGCACTGGTGCGGGTCATTTCTGCTCCATGTCCTGGAGCATTTCCTAGCTGAAGAGTTTCCTGGTTGGTGAGAGTGAACATCTGTTCTTGGGAGGATAAATAAATGTATCCCCTTGAGACCACATGCTGGGACCCCTCCTGGACCTTGCCCTGTATATTTTTTCATTTATATCCTTCTCTGTTAGATTAGAGTTATTGTACGTATGTTGTTTTGGTGGGCTCCATGGGTCATTCTAATGAAATCACTGGACCTAAAGGGAATGGTGGGCCTGGCTGGTCTGAAATGGAGTTGTGTGGACCCCTGTGTTTGCAGCTGGTACCCGCTGACTTAGCCCTGGGTGGCTAGGGATGAGATACAAGGGATGTAAGGGCAGCTGGGATCTGGACTAGCCAGGGAAGGAAAGCTAAGATTTCCAAACGTGTGATGTGGGGTATGCTATCCACCACAAAATCTGGTGTCAGAGGTGGGTGATCTTAGTCTCCCTGGACTGGTTTGCACAACTGGCACTGTGCACAGGATTAGGATTGCTGATTTGCAAATGCATGCTCCCCACAATTAAATATTACGCTAGTGGATAAAATCCAATTACAAAAATAAACGTGTGTTGTTTTTTTTTTAATCTAAGAACTAAGTTGACTACTTTGCAAAAATGCGATAAAAGTGAATTGCTTAAAAAAAAAAAAAAAAAAACGAAAAACCCATTAAATTAGATACAGGCAAAAATGGTAAAAGGTGAGATAAGAAATCAGGATTCTGTGCTCAGACTGCTCCATAAGCAACGAGGTTCCCATTCTAAATAATCGAAACCAAGGATCAGCAAACTTGTTCTTAAAAGACCAGATGGTAAATATTTAAGGGTGGTAACCACTAACTAGTTTCTGGCTTTAGGCAAATCCAAGCCATTTAACTGCTTTGAGAAGCCCCTTCACAAAGGACACTGAGACCTACACCCACTTAAAAGCCAACAATCTCGTGGGCAGGATGATATCTTGAGGGTCACTGTATTCCACGCTTTCATCTGATGTACCACATCCCCAAGAGCCTACCCAAGGCAGCATATACTCTACATACCGTTCTCAGTCACAGCTAGGGTCTGAGCATCCCCGCTCCCACATGCCACATCGATAACCTTCAGTCCTTTCAGCCCAGCTACGAGCACTGGAATGACCTCGTCCTCACTGGAGCCTTCAAACAGATAGAACTGTCATTACTGCAAGACCCTCATAAGAAGTGACTTCCCAGCACACACTCCGTCCTCACACAGCAAACGTACCATGACCCAGTCGGCCGTAGTTTCCCCGGCCCCACGTATACAGCTCCCCCTCAGCAGTGATGGCCGCGCTGTATGTGCTTCCACAAGCAATGTGTACCACGTGCTTCCCAGCCTGCTTTCCAGAAAAAGCAGAGATCACCTTAGGTTCTTCCAGAGGCCTGTGGAGACAAAAAGGACATATGTGAATGCCCTTTTAGGCATTTTTATTGTTGTTGGGAAAGAAATTCACTATTAGGAATAAACCATCATAGTGTCAAGGCTGTTTCTACTTTCAAATGTCTTACGAAGTAATTAAGGCAATATATAAATCAAAAACCTAATATCTCCATGACTAAACTTTGTTAAAAAGGTATCTAATGCCAAGTATGGTATCCAGCAAGATTTCAAAACATTTGTTAAAGATGCGTACGTGTACATGAGTTCACAGCAGGTTTAGTCACAATAGTCCAAAACTGGAAATGACCAAAATGTCCATGAACTAATGAATAAATAAACTGTGGTACATCTACACAATGGAACACTACTCAGCAATAAAAAAGAATGAACTACAGATACACAACAACACAGTTTAATCTCAAAAGTACCGTGCTAAATGAAAGAGACCAAAAACAAAATATACTGTATGATTCCATTTATATTAAAACCTGGAAAAGGCAAACTAACAGTGATAGAGAGCAGATCAGTGATTGCCACGGGTTGGGGGTGGGGAGAAGGGACTGACTACAAAGGGGTACAGAAGAAACCGTAGATGCAATGGAAATGTTCAACAGCTTAATTGTGGTGGTCACCCAACTGTACGTATTTGCCAAAATGTATCAAACTGTACACTAAAAACTGATTAATTTTATTCTATGTAAACCTCCATAAAGTTGGTTGAAATTTTATATACAGTTGTTAAGTAAATGTGGAAAGGATAATGCAAGCAAGGGTTACTAACTCACACTGCAATCTGTATCTTACCATCAGTATGACAGTACACATTCAGAAAGAAAAGTCTTACCAGTTGAAGAAATTTCTAAAACAAAACGTCCTATGTTTATAATCAGAATGTTTACTCTTATTGATAACATTTTCTTAAGCATCCACATAAGCCCACTCCAGCCTCTCCAAAGACATGGTTTACTCACTTTGTGACCCACTAGTCTACGAAATAAATAAACGCATACACAGGTATGTGCACATCTCAATTCCACTCCAGTTAACTTTCTCCTTCTTGGTTCAGCTCATTTCAACTCCCCCAAAAGTCTCTCTCCAACTCCTGCTGTCTACACTGATTTTTTTTTCCCTCTCCGAACTCATAGAGCAATACACAAGTTATTCATTCTAGCACTTAATCTCGGCTGAATATTATTTTATTATGAAATATTTTATACATGGTAAATTATATATAAAATAACCCAGCTTCTCTGGGAAATCATTCACAATACCATTTCAGTCACATGCGCCCATGCCGATCTCACCTCCCTTCCAATCTGAGAGTAACAAGTCTATATCTCATGTTTATCATTCCTTTGTTTTTCATGACAGTTTTACCACATTTGTCTGAATTTCCTCACAACACTGGTAAGTTCTGAATGTTTCTGAACACTTCTGCACAAATGTGTAATACTATACACATAACACAGCTTTTTCGGGTTTTTGAGATTCTTTCGAGTTGGGGTGGTGGAGCCGTGATTCGCTCATTCCACTCGAGTAGAGTGTCTCACTACATGAAGAGCCGACACTGCTTCTCCAGTCTCCTGGGAATAGACGGGGGGGACAGAGTCCAGAAGGTCATCACTCCAAACCCTGCTGCCGTCCTCCTCCTGTATACATCTCTGATGCACATTACCTATTTTCTGCAAATAATGCACCCATGTAAACAACACGTCTCACGCACAGTGCACCTGTGAAAATGATGTGCAATGGGGCTGCGCAGTTGGCAAAAACATGTAACATGAGTGTTATCTGCGTAAAAATACAGTAATTGGGGTTGCTGAATTGGAGCATACTTGATCTTCAATTTCAGCCTAAGGTAAAAGTTTCTTTCGCCAGTTTCCAAATACAACAGCAATGCATGACAGAGTCTCATCGTTCCATGGGAACTGTCAGATCTTTCACTTTTACAGCCTTGTTGTCTTTAACTTCACCATTTTCTGTGTTTATTTCTGGTCTCTCAACGTAATAAAAAGCTTCCACCAGATAAAATAATATTAAGAAATCTTTCATTTTAGAATGTGTGATAATGATATTACGGTTCAAAAACAGGGGGACCTTAACTGTTAGAGAATGTGGAAACATTTATGAATAAAATGATAGATAGCAGTGTGGAATTCACTTTAGAAAACTCCATCGTGGGGGTTGTGGTGTGAGTGGATGGAACAGGAGAAGCAAAAATCTGCTGGCTGTTGAAGCTGAGGGAGAAGAACATGAGGTCAACTTATGTCACTCTCTGTACTGTGGAGATCCTGCAGTACTGCTAAGGGCAGACATATCCTAGTACACGTCAGAGCAGCTTTAAAAAACCCAGCTACACTTTTATTTTGCCACTCTATTTTAGATACAGCAACATGAAGACGCACATGTCAATTAGAGGAATAGCTCCATACGTACACAGTGTCCCCGTGGCCCAGTCGGCCCCCATCCCCACAGCCCCAGGAGTAAACCTCTCCAGTGGCTGCCAACGCCAGGTAATGGTGACCATCAGAATGCGCAGCGATTTTTATAATGTTTCTAGAGGCAAGACCCTGGACCAGCTGTGGGGCCTGGAAGAGTAAAAATAGGAAGAAACATTAGTGATCAGTACAAAAATAATGAACAGCATGAATTTTCTCAAATTGTACATCTCACTTTAACAAACCCTACCCTAGCACTCCGCCCACCTGACACCCACAGAACAATAGAGACTTGACTTGCTTGAGTCAGTACAGGTTGCCCCTGTGCTCAAGGGGAGAAATGCCTGCCCCTTACAGGAATACCAGGCTCAGATGAAAGCACCTACCAGAGCATCGCTGTTGTAGGCCTGCATGTACACGCGGCCACTCCTCGACAAGATGAGGAAGCGCTTCTCTGCACAGGCAATCTGCATGACCCCCAGGCTGGCAAGGCCTTCACACTGAATGGGACCAATCACATTGGCATAGTATTTCCATCCTATTAACCCCCAACCTATGACCTCTTGCAATGATCCCTGTAAGATAATAAAGTACATATTTTCTTTACAACAGCAACCAAATCTCTTTCTCAGTCAAAAGAATAACTCATTCTAGTGGTAACAATAAAATATTCTACGCTAACAACAAAACAAGTAAAGAAAAGAGCTATGTTAACTGATAACATTCTGTATTAAACATAAGGGCCCCAGTTAACACAGAAGATGAAGGGACTGAACAGGTGACTTTCCACAGCACTTCATTTTAGAAGAGCCTGATAGAAAGCACTGCATGTGGGAAGACTTCGTCCCGTGTACTTTCACATGCTGTCAGGAGGGACGAGTCCCTGGAGAAGGACATCATGCTTGGTAAAGTAGAGGGACAACAAAAAAGAGGAAGACCCTCAACAAGATAGACTGACATAGGGACTGCAACAATGGGCCCAAGTGTAACAATGATTGTGAGGATGGTGCAGGACTGGGCAGTGTTTCATTCTGTTGGACTTGGGGTCGTTATGAGTTGGAACCAACTCAATGGCACCTAAAAACAACACATGTGGACCTTAAACACATTAAGAAAACAATGCTCAGACTGAACCAGGGTACCACTTCATACCGTAACAGCCAAAAATCCAAAAGCCTAAGCTCCCTGCAGTGAGGCCTTGGAATGACGAATGTTCTTCCTGTGGATGTGAACACTAGGAATCAACTGTACCAGAGCAACTTGGCAATGTTCATCAAATACATCCAGCACATTTGCCCAGCCACCTCACCAAGTACTTCACTACCTGCGTGCATACACATGCACGCACACGCACACACACGCGCACACACGTGCACACACGTGCGTGCACACACACACACACACACACGCACACACACACACACACACACACAGTAGCACACATATCATACCAGATTAGTCCTTGTAGCACTAGTTAAGTAGCAAATACTGGCAACAACCGAAGTGTTCACCAACAGTAGACTAGTCGAAAACAAAAACTCCGATACAGCCACAGGTGGAATACTAAGCTGCTCTAAAAAAACAAAGCAAGAAGCTCTCTATATTGATACAGAAAGATCTCCAGTGTATACTGTTAAAAAGACAAGCTACAAAGTATATGTAACATGCTATGTCTAAAATAAGAAAGGAGGGAAAATAAGAATAAATGTTCATTCCAGAAAACACTAAACAATACAGAAGATACTAAAGAAGCAATAAGGAGCAGGTAGGGGCACTTGGTAGATGACAGTGGGGTATGATGTGTCTGTACACGTATTTTTATTTTGAGCCGTATGAATATACTATTCTTTTTTTAATGACAAAAAAATACTCTTCATATTAAAAATAGAGTTAGGAAAACCTGGATAAAAAACCAAGATCATTCTGCGTGTCCTTGGCAGTTAATTACCATCTAAACTACACTGCAGACAACCAGGTAAGATGGTGTGTGAGGTTCCAGTGAGTCTGCACACACGTGCCCCCCACACACACCAGCCTCAACATCAGCAGTGTCATTATTCCTAGAACCAGCTTCGCAGCAGACAGCCGCTTTCAGAGCTTCTAGTGCACAAGCAACATCTGGAACCTTCCAGATGTGTTGTTGATAAAGATGAGCTCTCTGGGGACTTGCCCCCTGAACCTGGAGCCAGGGACACAAGGTGGGTCCCTTGACTTGACCCCTGTGTGCCTCAGCTGGCCCTACCTGCTTGATGAGGATTCCAAGAAGATCGTCCAAGGAACTCAGGAAGGGCACAGTGCCTGGCACATGATGAGCATCCCACGACTGTACACCACGAGCACCGCCAGACTGCCTAGGGGACAGGTACTACCAAGAACCACACTGGTGCCTCAGATAACAGCAGATGCCACTCACAGGGTGGCTCTAATGTGCCAAAGCTACAGAAGATCATGCAGTCACTCATTTTGACTACTGTACACATTTTTAAAAGCTATAAACCAGTTCTCACCCACAATATCATACAGACCAAGAACCACACAAGTACAGAATGAGAATCTAGTGGAATTATTAATTATAAAGCATATAGAGAAGGCTACCACAGCAAATACCTTGTGAGATGTTGGAGAGCTACACAAAGGAGGCATACAGGGTGTTGCCAGGCGGTCCAGATGGGCCGTGACAACGACCGCAGTCTGTCGTAAGTCGATTGCCAGCTCATTGTCTTGTGGCAGGGTAAGGTACCTCAGAAAACTCTCATTGGGGCTCAGAGGGCCAGATAAGAGCTAGACAAGAAATGCAAACAAACATCTTGAGAAATGGTGAGAAAAATTAAAGTAACACAATTAGCCTGTAGCCACTCTTTATATTTTGGTATTTACAGATACATAATATCTGTGAATCTGTTCATTTTGGCCATTAAATGGTAACTGTTGACTACACATTTATACTACACATCTATACAATTGTTACACTACACCTCAGGTGAATGCTAGAGATGTCGACTCCACATGGATTACTAATACAGCCCAAATCATCCTGCAAGTCATGCCTCCCGCAGGACCTTCGAGAACAAGCTTCGGGGTGGCACAAACAGCACCTCAACCTGACTTTAAAAACTAAAAACAAAATTCCTTATTTTAATTTAAATGCTGCCCACTCTGGAGAAAATTGTATTTGCAAATTAAGTCATAGTTCAATTCTGCCAAATAATAGAAAAAATTAGGCTTAAACATTATAACAGAATAGCTACATGTTTCTAGAAAAGACTTGCAAAACTAAATGTCTACTTCTAAAAAGAAGCAGTCTTGGGGAGTCACAGGCTAGAATGAGCTGAGGTGGCCTTCAGGCCTGCTCGGACAGCTGCAGCCTGGGCGGGGTATCCCCCTTTTCTAATATGTATTTAAAGTGTGCATTTGACACTTAATATGGTAACATAACTTAAATGGACAATTATACCAGTAATTCCCCACAAACAGCCTGATGGGGGAGAGGGAGATGAAGACTTACCTGGCTCTCCTAGGCATATTCTCAAAATGAAACAGTAAGATGTCTGGATGTGTGTTTTTCCATGTAGACAAAGTGACATTTCATGTTAGATCACTCCTCTGAGCCTTATGACAATGTCCTGATCCTCACCTCAATGTGCTAACCCTTCTCCCAACTCAATGCATGGCCTTCCTATGTTATCTATCTGCTGCAAGTATCAATGATGAGCTACTTGAGTCTCATCTTTTGCATTTGAAATACATCAGGGGTTTTACCCATCTTCATTCCTCTACTAACAACTCCTTCATGGAAGTGAGCACGCTTTCTTTACATCTTCCACAGCATCTAAATCTCACCTCCCTCACAGCAAATGTGCGCTACAAGAAGCTGCTGGGAGCACGCAAGCACTAACCTCCGTGCACATGAGGGCTATGCTGCTCTAGTGTAGCAGAAAGAAACAGTACAGTCAACATGCAGCAGACAGGGATCTCTAAAACTACAACTGGGTATGTATGTTAACACATAAAGCCCTCCTACAAAACATACACAACCCAACAACAAAAATGCAGAGCCCAGTGGCTCTGGCCACTACTTAGCACATCAAAGAATCCTCATTTGCTCATGGGACATTCTACCACACCAGGTGAACCCACACCGCGGCCTGCCACACCTGCCTTACCTGACCACATACAGACACCCCAAGAGACAACCATGTCCACGGCCATGCACCCTGGTCGAGTTGACAGAAGTCTCCCTACTCTCAATAACTACAATCAAGCTTGTACTTGGACCCAGAGTGCCATGGGATGCTTACGTGAGTGTCAGCCTCTGGGTGCAGCACATCTTTACTGCCAAGGATGCCCTGGAACCTCTGCAGCAACGGCAGCAGGGGGGCACTGGTCCCCTGTGCAGACCGCTCGTTGTCAGTCTCCCGGGCACCGCTGTCCCACAACTGAAGCAACAACATGATGGCAGATAACATTTGGCTAAAAGGGAAAATATATTCTCTAGTAAAAGCAGATTAACATTTTGCCATGGTTCGTCAAAAATAAAAGTAAACAGCTAAACAAAATTGACAAGATATACTAGATTTAAAAGGAAACTAAAATAATGCCCTGGAAACAATTCTTGACAATAAAATCACTGACACAGCACCAAGATTCTAGCACAAGACATCAACCTGCTGTTTATCAAAAATATAATACCACAGTCTAAAATAAGTTTAAATAGCTCTTTCAGTGAGGAATTTCTAATACCTTAAATTAATGCAATAAAAATAATTATTTTAGAAAGCTACAAGAATAAAATAACAGAGCTCTAGGTGTGAAGAAAATCTAATTGTACCTGGCTTTGAAAGAAAGAGTGGGCCCTTTGAATTAGAGACCACCACGCATCTGCTACAGTCACCAACAATTAAATGCAAGGTCATAAGATATAAAAGCTCGATGGATGCTGGGGCACCTCCCTAAACCACTGGCATCCTGTGGCACTCTCACCTGAGCGTGCCCCTCTGCACGGCAAGCTCCAACAGGATGGCCAGTGCCAAGTGCTGGTCCTGCAGGGGAATGCTCCCTGGTCCTTTGGCGCCAGGCATTCCATGGACATCCCTGAAACAACAGTAGTGGATGCAGGACAAAGCAGTGTCAGAGAAAGTCATCATGCTTAAAACACTACTAAAATATTAATAATGCTATATGCTCTCTCCCATTAAAAAAAAAAAAAAATACTTTGAATATTTAGAATCAACTTTCTGCGACTTACTACCTGTCATGGTTGAACTATGTCCCCCTAACAATGTGTGTATCAATTTGTCCTGGCCATGACTCCTGCTATTGTGTGGTTTTCCCATATGTTGTAAATCCTGCTTTTATGATGTTAATGAGGGAGGATGGGTGGCAGTTGCGGCAGTTGTATTACTAAGGCGGGACTCAATCTACAAGAATGGATTCTGTCCTGAGGCAATCTCTTGAGAGATAAAAGAGAGAAGTGAGCAGAGAGACAGGGGACCTCATACCACCAAGAAAGTAGTGCCAGGAGCAGAGAGTGTCCTTTGGACCCACGGTCCCTGCGCGGAGAAGCTCCTAGTCCAGGGGAACATTGATGAGAAGGGTGACAGAGGGAGAAAGCCTTTCCCTGGAGCTGACACCCTGAATTTGGACTTTTAGCCTATTTTACTGTGAAGAAATAAATTTCTCTTTGTTAAAGCCATCCACTTGTGGTATTTCTGTTGTAGCAGCACTAGATGACTAAGACACTACCCAAATCTATTCAGAGACTTTAAAGTATAAAATTAACTTGTAAAGATATATTTTATTAATGGTACTAATTCACATAAGATATAATTACATTAGAAGATATATTCCAAGTTTCTGAAGCATAAAATAACTTATATCATTAGTTAATATTTGAATATTTTTCAAGTCTCAATAAAGTGTAAGGTTTTTAGAGTTATCAACAGTCTCCTGTAGTACTGGAGAAGAACCAATTTCTCAAAGTACCTGAGAATATACAGACAAAATATCTCTGCTTATTTTTATCTCTGATCAAAGAAAAAATTTTAACTTTTTTCCATTTCTCAGTAATAACTAGTTTTCTTGATCCTAGATGAAAGAAGGAGAATCTCATGGCATCACCATTACAAGTTGAATTTTTCAGATGAATTGCAAGCTTATTTCTCAGGGTCCCCAGCCTTATCCTCTGTGGTGATGTCTTCATCAGCCTTCCCGAGAAAGGTCTTCCGACCCCCTCGCATGGAAACGAGCAGCACCCTAGTCAGTGAAAGGGGCCAGCCACAGCGACCTCCACTGAGGGGAGGGCACACGGGCCTCGCTCCTCCTCTATGGCTATCTAGGCTGTTGAACTTGTATTGAGCATGTATTATTTTTAATTTAAAAAAAGAGAAGAAAAATGCACAGCATCCAAGGCAAGAGTTCATCTTTTTCCTTACAAAGAAATGACTCACATTCAAATTTTTAAAAATATACTAAACTAAATTTAGGTTTAAACATTGCATCTAAGGTGAAATGTAAGATAAAAGTGGTTACTTGTTCCCAAGTTACCTATTAAGACTTAAATATATACCATGAATCAATCATCAGAATGGTGGCATTTTCATTTCCACCAATGGACACACAATAAGTGCTCAAACACATTTTGAATAACTGATTACCAAATCAGAAATTATCTGACAGAAATAAATGACAGAAAGCATCTTTAATTTTCCATCCCATTCGACAGCTTCCAGGATCAAATCAGAATATCTTAAATCATTTTAAAAAGCTGAAAACCAAAACCCGGAATCATAGAGCTGAGGATGTGCTGCAAACACACATCAGAAACCAACCCACTATGTTTCTTGGCACGAACGAAGAGGAAACTGAGAAGAAGACCGTTGGAACCTTCCTACAGAAAGGTATGACAAGAAGAACCTACCCTGTCACGACGGACCGGAGGAATCTGGTCGCTCTTTCCACAACTTCCAACCACACAGAGGACACGGTGCTCTCATCAAAGAGAGAGGCCTCGGGAAGCGCTCTCAGGGCATCCAGGGACTCCTGCAACAGTTCGCTGCACAGGTCTGCGTCCTCACCTGGGCACATGCGCACACTTCAGAGGAAGCCAGGCACTGCTCAGCAGCACTGACATCCAGGCTCCTCCTCACATTAACATGCGGGCCAGGCCTCCCACATCTCAGAGAGACATCACTGTCACATTTTCACTCCCTCACCTCTCCTCTCCATGATTTACTCCAAGAACTCAAGAACTAAAATTTAATACCTAAACCCCACTGCTATCGAGTTGATTCCAACTCACAGCAACCCTGCAGGGTTTCCAAGGCTGTAAATCTCTACAGAAGCAGACTACACATCTTTCTCCAGGAGCCGCTGGTAGTTTTGAACCGACGACCTTTCAGTTAGCATCAATCGCTTTAATCACTGCACCACCAGGGCTCTCCCAAATTTAATACAGTTGCCTCAAAGTCAACTTTATATTTTATGGCTCTTATATGTGCAATATTAAACTTCTTGTTATTCCAGAAAATAAGTCAGTACTTAGGGCTCTCCACTGTACTGGTTTACTAAGGGATGGGTATGTGTGCACACACTTATATTTCATTAAAGAAGCACAGATTGAAAGGCCAGAAACACCCTGAAGCCTCTGGTTGTTTAGATAAAGAAATGAGGCAGGTGTGGGGCTGTCCAAGGGTGGGGGAAGGCTGGAGGGGGCAAAGCTGAGGAGCATGCCCAGTCTCCTGATGCATTAGGGAAACAGAACACCACGCTGCAGATGCTGAAACAACCAACATTACCTGACCGCCAGGCTCTGCGTAAAAATGCGAAGGCAAAAGAAAGGGCTGCTCGGGATCCAACTCTCGCAAGTCCTTCAACCCCTTTGCCTGTGGGTCGGGAACTGTGGACAACACACACACACGGGGATTGTGATAACTGGTCAAAGGCATGTGTAAATACTAAAAGAAAATAAACAGTATGGAAGGATTTGTGCCCAAATGTTATTAGTGGCTTTTTTTTAGATGGTAGGATTACAAGTGACTTTTTTTTCTAAACTCTTATCAACTGTCTTTCATAAATGAAGTTTATTCCTTTAAAAAAAAAAATTTACAAGAAATTTTAAATGACTTGGAAAAATGTTCATCAAATAACCTCAGGGAGCTGACATTCTAGTGGAGGAGGGCAGATGACGAAGACAATAAACAGATAAATACATAAATGGGGTGGAGTGGCCATGTAGGGAAAGAGGCAGGTGAAGGGTGAAGAGCACACAGAGAATCCTACAAACACAGCCGGACGTCGTTCTGCCAAGCCTGAACACTGACTGGATGGTTCGTGTCTTACATCTATAGGACAGGTAGGTGTAAGGCCCCATGGGCTTGTCCCGTTCCCTCTCACTCCCACCCTTCGTGGTCAACCCTCTCCAGAATTGGTTGTTTTATCATCCTCATGTGTCTTTTTAAAGTTTTTACTACATACATATGTTAACTTAATAGGACTTAGTTTCATTTTGTATATTTTCAAAAGTTATACAAATGGTACCATAAAAATCATCCTGAAAAAAGAAAAAAAATACAAAAATGTTTGGAATATATAAACTTAATCATGCACAACAAAGGATTTTTATTTTCCACTTTATACTTAATTGTATTCTCCAAATTTATTACAATTTACACTTCCATAATCTGGGGGAAAGTGCTATTAAAAGTAGGAAATAATACAAAATGACCTCCCCAAGATACAGTGTCAAGTAAAATTAAAAGTAAAGGCTATGGAGTGCCTATGTGGGCAATGAATATGCACATTTCTGCAAATACCTGACAATGCACGGAACAGCTCTAAAGGAGACGTGAAAAGAAACGGCCACCAGGAGCTGCCTCTGAGGAGGGGACTGGGTGCCTGGGAGAAAGGACTAAGGAGAGCGAAACTCCATTTTTGAATGAGAAATACAAACCACACAAGGTACAGATGTAAAGAGGACATCAGTCTTGAAGAGGGGAAGAGCACATGTGGAGCACAATCAGAGAAGGCAGGAGGACTCTCTGGACAGAGTACCCTGTGAGAAAGCTGCTCCAGAGGATGCTTGAAGCTTGGGCTCTCCACAGCCACTGGGACCCTGTCCCTGGTAAAAGGGCCCCTAGCCCTGAGCCTGTACAATGTAAGATCTGCTAAATCGTCAACGAGTGGCTCTCCAATGTACAGATGTTCAAGAAAAGAAATACAAATAGCCTAGATCCTTCTCTACCCACGCCAATCAACTACCCAACCCACAGCAAGTTCCACAAAAAGGTAAAGCCCACTACAATCCAGTAAACTGAGAAACATGGAAAATGAATCTACAAAAATTTAGGACCACAATGAGATGTCACTACACACCAGTCAGAATGGCTAAAATAAAAAATAGTGACAACACCAAATGCTGGCAAGGATGTGGAGAAACTGGATCACTTATGCATTGCTAGCAGGAATGTAAAATGGTACAGCCACTCTGGGAAAGATATGGCAATTTCTTACAAAACTAATATACAACCCAGCAACTGCACTCTTGGGTACTTATCCCAGAGGAATAAAACATATGTTCACACAAAACCTGTACACAAATATTCAAATCAACTTTATTTCTAATATTCAAAAACTGGAAACAACCCAGATATCCTTCAAGAGATGAATGAATAAACAAACTGTGGTACATCATATCATGAAATACTGCTCAGCAATCAAAAGGAATGAACTACTGACACACACAAGGATATCAAGTAAGTTATGCTGAGTGAAAACAGTCCATCTCGAAAGCTGACAGGAGTGAGATGGAGAGCAGATGAGTGGATGCCAGTGGTCAGGGAGGGGAGAAGCTGGCTGTGGCTGTAAAGGGCAGAACAAGGCTTCCTTGCTCTATATGTCTTGACTATGGTGATGATCACACCAATCTGTACATGTGATAAAACTGCATAACAATACACATATACACACATTAAAACTGGAGAAATCTGAGTAAGGCTGTTGGATTGTATCAACGTCAATGTCTTGGTTGTATACTAGAGTCTTGCAAGATACTGCCACAGGGGAGAACAGCAGGGAAGGGCACACGGAATCTATATTATTTCTAACAGAATCTCTCTGTACTATTTCCTACAACTCCATGTGAATCTACGACAATCTCATAATAAAAAGTTTTTTTTTTTTAATTTTAGGAAATTCTTCCATTTAATGAAAGATATACTTTATGCTAATTAATCAATTAACACTATTTCATTACAAAGGAAAAAGCACATAGAAAATTCAGTTGGGCTCTCAGCCACACTGTATCTTAGGGAATTCACTCTGACTTGACACACACAGGGTGCTCAGAGAATCTTAGACTCTACTGCCCACTTACGCAGACCCCCCCAGGACCATCACAGGTGGTTACCCCTCTCCAGGCAAAAAGGAAAGACACAACCGTGCCACTGGCTGTTAGCAAACAGATGCACTCCTCACTGGGCCCTGGTTTAGTTTATTTTTAAAACTAATTGTCAAAAATGTGGTATGTATGTGATATCAACTAGATTTAAAAATTAAAGAACCAAGGAAATATGCTACATTTAGCTCTTCTCGTCTCTGCACAGCTAAATGATAGGTTTGGTTTTGTTTCCTGCTTCTTTCTGTTTCCTGTACTTTCCATGTGCTCTACAGGGAGTAAAAATACTATTATAATCAACTCTCCTAACTACATAAAATATAAATTTCACTTGGCAATCTAGCAGTCTAGCTTTCTAAGGACAAAAGTTTGGTAGACAGCTACATTTTGGAAAAACACAAGCTTTAAGCATTCTGGTGGCTTTTAGTTAATACCTCAAAAAAAATTTGCTGATGTACACCAAAACATCAAAAATCACGTCTAAAAGCACCTCTTGTAATAAAAGAATAAGAGAATTCCATTAGGAAGGAAAAAATGATGCAGTTAACCTAAGTATGCACTGAATATTATGACCTAGGTCCTATCCACTAGCAAAACAAACGAGAACAAAAAGAATATAATGCTCAGATCCCACCTAGACACACTCATCTAAAACTCTGTCTGGTTTTTACAGTTACTGACAGAAAAGGGTCTTAAAACAATGACAAAGATTATGCAGTGTGGCCTGTTAAACCGCATGCGCAAATTGACAAAACCATTCTCCAGATTATGAGACACATAAATCAATGGGAAAGAAAAGATAAAATCTGACAAGGTGAAAAAAAGGGACTACGCTGAAAACCGTAATTAAACTGTTCTACTACATGCTGTGCTTTAGCTGTGCTTTAAGTAACTTTAACAACCTGACCCCACAAAAACAGTATTCACATGGAGTATACAGACTGAATTCTACATTTACTGGCATCAGGATTTTTCTCCCACATTATAGTATTACCTTTTCTTGTCCACAGGAGGCAAAGAAATACTGTTGCTTCTCCACTTAACCTTGACATTCTCCTGAAAAACAGTCCTACTCAAGGCAATGAAGTAGCGTTCCAAGATCACCAGCCTCTGCTTGAGTCTCAGGGCTGACAGGGTGCTGGTAGCTGACTGGACGGCCAGAGCTTGCTGCTCTTTGACCAGCACAGTGAGACATTCCTTCAGTTCACCCACATCTAGGAGACAAGAAAACATCAGCCTCTCAACAGCTGGGACATGATTCACTGTAATACTGGTAAAATAATGATAGGTGACACTCAAGTGCTTAATATGTGCCAAAAATGGTTTGACACTCTGTACACTATCAGCTCAGTAACCCTCACACTCACCACTGCGAGGTAGTACTGTGCATCCATTTTATAGATGAGGGAACTGAGGCACGGAACTGCCCAAGTCCCACAGAGGTGTGGAGCACACAGGACAGACTACTCCTAGCCACCAGGTTATACTACCTCTCTGTAAACATCACAGAAAAGTTTTTTAACACAAAACCATAAAAACAACACTTATCAACAGCCCATTTCCTAGACAGACAGAAAACTCCTATCCACCATTTTCATGTTATCAAGCAAAATTCAAAATAAAATGGTTTCAATAAAACCACCCACCATCCTTGACTCATAAAAGGTAACACACTTATGGGAATATTTTAGATGAAAATAAAGTAGCTAGTTAGAGCACGTGATGAGTACGTGGTATTTCATTATATTCTACTTCTGTGTATGGTTCATTCTACTATTCTCTCTACTTCTGTGTATGTTTAATAATTTCCATACTTAAGAGGGTTTTTTTAAGTAGCTAGAAGACAATTACACAAATGAAGACAATTCAAAGAATATTCATCCAATTAAGCATAAGCTTACCTGAATGTACAATTACAATTGAGTTGTAAATCAGTCTTCCCACAATCCCCTGTACCAGTACAGCCCCAGTGGTGTGACAAGAACAAAGGGTTTTCCTTCCCAAGATCTGAGCCTGTGCTCCATCTCAGATTTTATTAGCCATGAGACCACTACAAGCCATAAGCCTCATAACCTAAGATCTCAAGAGGCAAGACAATGTCCCTACCAATGTTACTTCTATCAAAGACATTAGTTTTCTAGCTAATGATCATCACTCATGTGGTAGGGAGGGAGATCTTAGCAGGCATTCTTTTTAAAAAAAAAAAAAACCATTGCTGTCGAGTCAATTCTGACTCATAGCGACCCTACAGGACAGAACAAACTGCCCCACAGGGTTTCCAAGGCTATAAATCTTTACAGAAGCAAATTGCCACATCTTTCTCCCGCACAGAAGCTGGGGGATTCGAACTGCCGACCTTTCTCGATTAGCAGGCGAGTGCTTAACAACTGCACAACCAGGGCTCCTCCAGCAGGCATCAGAGGGACACATCTCCCCGGAGTGTGCCCTCCCCACTCTCAGGCACTATGGCACAAAGAGACAAGTGTCCAGGAACCAGTAGCTAGAAGACTTATGGTAAACTAGGTGAAGAACATATAAACCTATTCTAAATTCAACCAAGGCACTTGGACACTCTGACAGAAGTGGGTGAGGAAAAAAAAGAAACAAACTAAACAAACTCACAAAGGTTAAGCAATCCAAGGTTGAGAAATCCCGAAAAGGGATATTCAGCAAGGGTTAAGAAGTGATTTCACTTACTGTTTATTAACCTCCGCTTCTTTGCCAAAAGGATTCGAAGCAGTTTGAAACAAAAGGTGCACATAATTAGTTAACAGATTATCATACTTTTATGCAAATAAAATGCACCTTCTGTGTTTGCCAGCCGCGCCTTCCCCTCCCCCTCGCAAGGCACCCTCACAAGCGCCACCATGCCAATCATCTTCCACATGTTGCTATTAAAAAATCAGCATAGCACGCTTATGAAAATACCTCACAGTGGGGAGGTCAAGGCCTGCAAACAACACAGAAGGCACACGTTATCTGTGTAAAAAAATGGTCCTTAAAAAAATGAAAAACTCAGAAGCAAGAAAAAACAAGTAGAAAGACATTAAACATAGGATTTACTTGATATAATTTCGCTTTATATGTAGCTAAGATCTTCCTGAAAGCCAAAAAATGAGTATACCAGATTTCTGAGTAAAAGGCCAGGCCGAATACAAGAGCAACATTTTGGAAAAGGCAGTCAATGGCTCAGGGAATCAAGAAAGGTGATACTTACGCCAGGAGAACAACAAAGAACAGATTTATATTAAAAAATCTCCCAAAGACGCATACCACCAGGTACCTCTCCAGGAGGTGAAGAGAAGGCTAAAAGGAAGGGGAGGAGGACTGGTGGTCTATCAGCAGTGAGACTCCAGATCCCATCTCCACTCAGCACAACTCACCTTTGCACAAAACAAGACGTTTCATCTCTGCAAAGGGCAACATGCAGAGAGCCTTACTCTTGCACCCTAGTCCATCTCCCACAAAGTCATTCCCTAACCATCACCTGTCACACAGGAGGATGTTTTCTGTGGGAAATCTGAACAGCCCAACAGGAAATACCACGAGATAACATCAGATTTAGAGAGTCGAAGCCAACATGACACTACAGACAGAAGCACCACGCCGTCCCTTCACAGCAAAGACCCAAAAAACTAAGTAAAACAGACAAACGTCAATCCTGGAACCCTAAGGGTCAAATGAAGAGATAAAGAACTCAACCAAGCACCGAATGGAATAAGAAACTGACAGAGACCGGGGAGTGAGGAGAGATACGGAGTGGAGGTCCCCAATCAGCTAATGCAGCATGGATACGCCATCTTGGACTCCTCATCCACTGAGATTGGCAGATAGGGAGTACAGGAAGGCAGTGCCACAGAGTTCCCAAAAGGAGACAGAGCACCCAGTAACCAGCAATACACGCCTTCTCACCCCTCATCCTTCTCCCCCAAGCTTGGCCTCCACCGCTTCCTGGCAGGCTGCAGTCGCTCAGCAGGGGAGGCGCTGGCTTGGGAGCCACATTCTCGGTCCGTGCCACCACACCAGTGGGCTCCCTTGGGGTATCTTCTCTTTTTTTCTTTTCTTGATTTCTTGTCGCCCTCTACCTTCCTTCCTTCCTTTTCTCTTGAACACCTGGCACCGTATGCCATTTCTGCCGCTTCTTGACGGTCTGTGCGGCACCGCTCAGCTGGGGACCGGCTTCTGATGGGCTCCCTTGGGGCATTTTGCTTTTCTTTCTTCTCCATTTCTTGTCTCTCTCTACCTCCCTTACCTGCCCTTCACCTGAACGCCTGGCACCATGTTTCATCTCCGCTCCTTCTGGACGGGCTGTGCAGTGCCGCTCGGCTGGGGACCCGTTTCCAGTGGGCTCCCTTGGGACACTTTTTTCCCTTTCTTCTTCTTTTTATTCTTGGTGTCTTGTTTCTCTCTACCTCACTTCCCTTCTTTCCTCCCAACCACCTAGCATCTTTTTTCCCCTTTTTTTTTCCTCGGATTTTTGTCTCTCTCTACACTCCTTCTACTCCTTTCTCCCGAACACCTAGCCACACGTGCCTTTCTACTTTTTTTTAATCTAGTTTCTTATTTTTCTCTCCCTTCCTTTTCTTCCCCCCCCCCCCCCAATCTGGCTGTATGTGCCATATCTGTCCCTTCTTGATGGGCTGTGCCTCGTAGCCTGGCTAGAAACCCACCAGAACACGGCTTAACTGGGTATACATCACTCCAACAGCAGATTCCCTTAACATTTTTTTTTTTTGTCTCCTGTTTCTCTCTCCTCTTTCCCTTCTTTCCCACACCTACTAAGCTCCACACATCACAACCTGCCCATGTCCTCCTGCCTATCTGCACCATCCACTGAACATTGCACACCCGAGCACCACAGGCACAGTCTACTGGAACCTACCCTGTCCTGTGGGCCCCAGTACATTCCACAAACAACTCATCCCAGCTCCTCCCCTCCCACTAGACCTGTCCTGCTGCACCACAGCGCAGCAACTGGCCCTGTCCATTGAACAAGGTGGTAAGAAGTACTGTGCCTACAGATGAGCAAACAAAAAACATCCAACCTCCTGCTCAGACATAACCAAATAAAAAAGCAGGACGAAACAAACAAATCTACCATCCATAAATGAAGAAAATAACTACTAAATGCCTCAAAGACAGCAGACAGTATCAAAACATATTAAAGAAAAAAAGGAAAGGATGGTGCCAGTAGGCGTCCAAAATAAAACACCAGATGACCTTCCAGCAGAAGGAAAGACACTACAACTACTGATATGGAATTCAAATCTCTAATACTCAAGAGCTAGCCAAGAGTTGAAGGAAAAAGCAGACAAAAATTAGGAAAAAATACACAAAATCATGGAAAAGACAGAAAAAAAAATGGAAAAATTCAGGAAATAATACAGAAATAAAATGTCAAAATAAATTCACAACTAGAAATCATACAAAAACACCAATTAGAAATCTGTAAGATAAACAACAAAATTTCAGAAGTGGATAGTGTCATAGAAGATCTGATGAGCAGGTTTCAAACAATGGGAGACACGATCAGCAAAACTGAAGGCAAATACTTGGATACCACTTTGTTTGAGGAAAAATCAGAGAAAAAAACAAAGAAAAATGAAAAAATGCCAGGAATGATGTGGAATAGAATCAAAAGCAAAACTCTGTAAATGATCGAAGCTGCAGGACAAGAGGAGAAATCGAAAAACACAGAGAGGATCACTGAAGAATTACTGACGGAGAACTTCCCTAATATCATGAAAGATGCAAAGTTGACCATCCAAGAAGCTCAACGAACACCATTTAGAATAGACACCAAAAGAAAATCAACAAGGCATATCATAATCACACTTGCTAAAACCAAAGACAAAGAATCCTGAGAGAAGCCCACGACAAATGAAAAGTCACATAGAGCAAACAATAAGACTAAGCTCTGATTACCTGGCAGAAACCATGCAGGCAAGAAAGTAATGGGACGACATACATAACACCTTGAAAGAAAAAAACTGTCAACCAAGAAAAATATGTCCTGCAAAACTCTCACTCAAATATGACAGTGAAATTAGGACACTTCCAGATAAACAGAAATGAAGGGACTATGTAAAAACCAAACCGAACTTACATGAATTACTACAGGGAGTCCTTCAGTTTGAGGACAAACAACATCAGACGACAGCCTGAATCTAGGACAGAAGACCAAATCAGCTAGATACCAACCTAGGTAATGAAC